GTGCTATTTCAACATTGAAAATCCAAATGAGATCATGCGAACATGCTTATAGAATATAGAATTTAAAATTTAAGCACATGCATGCAAACTCCATAACCTTACCTTTCAAAACCATCTCCACTAATGTAGACTAACACTTAATCAAGGATCAATAGGACTTTTTAAGCTTGTAATGTAAGGCTAGGGTGAAGGTAGGATATGAGATAATATTTTGGCTTAAATCACCCTTTAAACACATCAATAATTCTAGGACCTTAAAAGAGCTCAAATAGCACACCCAAGTAACACCCCCAAACTTGATTGTTACTTTCTTTTATCATCCACTTATTGTTTTTTTTCTTTCATTTTTTTCACTTTTTTTTTACATTTTTTTTTTGTCTTTTCATTTTTTTTTTTTGGAACAAATCCCCTCTACCCCCAAACTTAAAATCAACATTGTCCTCAATGTTGCAAAAAGAGCAAAAAAAGTAAAGAAGACTCCTTTTTTTTTTTTGGTACATATACTACACAACAACTAAATTTTCACAACGCCACCCTTCCTCTCATATGCTAACATAGCTCAATGTGTGTCCTAAAATGATCAACATGCTTATGGGTGAGGGGTAGAAAGTTGGAAACTTATTTAAAAGGCTAGGCTAAAGATGTGGGTAATAAAAACACCAAAGCAAAGTAAAAAGTTCCTAGAAAATTCAAAATTAACACAAAGAAAGGCTCAAATAACCACAAGAAAAAGATTAGAGAAATTGGGTTGCCTCCCAACAAGTGCTTTCTTTAATGTCTTTTAGCCGGATGTTTGGAGAAGAGCTCATCAAAGAGCGGCTTTTGCCCATAGTAAGTGTCATAAAACACTACAAATGGGTCTTGGTTGTGGATGCCCTCAAGCTTGGCAAGATGTGGAAATATGTGGTACGTAAGTTCAACTTGGCTTGATTTCAGAACATGTGCATGATGGACACCAAGGTATGATGTTAATGCTTGTGGAGGAGTTGGCGGCCACATTGGATCTTCAAACATATACACTTGCATGACCGGTGGCACAATAGGTTGAGACTCGAAGACTTCTCCTCACGCTCCCGCTTCAATGGTGAAGTATTGGTTCACTTCGTCGGTCAAAATAGAATCCAAGACATTAATGGCTGATTTTTCATTTTGTTGTTCTGCCTTGCATTGCTG